GAAAGATCTAGCTCCCTGTTTCCTATTATCTATCTTTTATTTTGTTCTTTGTTTGTATTCTGGGTTTCTCATAAAGAGAAACCATATAATATTTAAGCATATGTGCCTCATTTGTTTCTCTTAATGTTATGGTCTCAAAGTTCATCCATCTTCCTACAAATGACTCAAGTTTATCCTTCTTTATGGCAGAGGATTACTCCGCTGTGTATAAATACCACAGTTTCTTTATCCATTCATCTGTTGATAGATGTAGAGGCTGCTTCCAAGATTTAGCTATGATGAGTTGTGCTGCTATAAACATGAGTATGAGTACATCACTGCAGTATGATGTCTTTAACTCTTTTGGGAAGGTCATATTCCAAGGTCCTGGGGTCAGGACCTACACATGCCTTGCAAAGGAGGGGGAAGCAGTTTAACCCATACCATGGTCTTGTTTTCTTATCTGACCACTTCTCCTCAACCTTCATCCTGGAGTCACTGAGGTGCTGTCCCTTCAGGGGCCTCTTCCATGGCAGCTACACCGGCACAAAACGCTCTTCATTGGGCTTATCTGTATGGGAGCTGGTGTCCCTTAAACTACGGCGATAGCATAAATATAAGGGTATAAGGTCGATATCCCTTCCTTAATATGCTCAGCATTTGTCTCTTATATTAATTAGTACAAGGCTGCATGGACAAGACACCCAAAAACACAGTGATTTAAAAGTAATACAGGGACTGGAGATATAGCTCAGTGGCATAAGCACCTGCCTGGCAAGTGCAAGGTCATGAGTTTGATCCCCGGTACTGCAAAAAAAAAAAAAAAGCCATGCAATGTATTTCTCAGGGGAAGGGGACCAAGACATGGGAAGAATGAGGAGGGAAGGGGAGGGGACATAAAAAGACTTAAGCTGTGTTATGCACCTGTGGCAGCTCCCTTGTAATGAGTGTGATCATCATGTACCACAAACATGGTCTCATAGAACTTCAAGTTTATTTATTTTTGATTTTTTGAGACAAGCTCTTGCTATACAACCCAGGCTGGCCTCAAACTCAGTGATCCTCCTGCCTCAGCCTCCCAAGTGCTGGGATTACAGGTATGTACCCCCTTGGCCAGACTAAAAATAAAAATTAGAACAAAAAATTGATTTCTCTCTCAGCTGAGGGGTCCAGGTCACAGAGGACCCTGGCCTGTGTGCCCATCCAAGGAGTCAGGTTCTTTCCATCTTGTTGCCGGGTGCCCGCCCCCCATGAGCATTTTGCCCTCATCTGCTAGACGCGGGCTGGGAGCAGACGTAACTGTGCCCGGTTGTAGAAAGGGGAGGGAGACACGGATGGGACAACGCACGCCCAGAGTGACAGCTGAGGCCCGAGGGGTCTTCCTTGTTTCTGCTCATGCTCTAAGTGAAGACTGCGGTCATGTGGCTGCTTAGCTGCAAGGGAGGCTGGAAGCACCTTCTGCAGAACAGTGCCAAGCTGCGCTGTAGCTCTCACCGAGCCCCAGCCTCGTCTCCAGGTCTGAAACCTCAACACTGCTGAAAAGCTTTCCTTTCAGTTGGAGGCAGAATCTGACTTGAAACCACATCTGGGATTTATAGAGGCGCCTATAAAGACAATTTATGGTCTTCATTTTACCCACTGGTAATGAATATTAATGTGCTTTTGTTGTAGAAATGCAAATGCATTTGATGAAGTTCTCTGGAGACTCTGCTGGGGAAATTAATCACATGAAGTTATGGAGCAGATTACTTTCCTGAAAATGAACACTTTTATTTATTTATTTTTCGGGTGTTTGTTTTGTTTTGTTTTTGTTTTTGTTTTTTTGAGACAGGGTCTTGCTGTGCAGTTCAGGCTGGCCTAGACATGAGGGTGTTCCCATGGCAAGGGCTCCCAGGACTCCATCTACTGGGCAAGAATCTCCCAAGAGAAGGCAAATCCGTAAAGAAGGCGAATCTGTATCCACCGGAGTGGAAGGTCCTCTTCCCTGGGTTTGCAATCAGAACTGTAGATGAATTTTGAAATTTAAAGTTGTTAATTTCTCCAGGCATGGTGGTGCGTTTCTGTAATCCTAGGATTCAAGAGGCTGAGGCAGGAAGATTGCTGACTGTTCAAGGCCCGCCTGGGCTCAAGAGGAAGTTCAAGAGGAAAAAGCAAGATAAAAGTACAGCCTGGAGGAAAAGGAGAATGAATACCACAAGGCCACTCCAGGCACTAACCAAAGAAAACAACTGGGTCATAAGGTTGTTGGAGAGGGGCTGGGGATCTAGCTCAGCGGCACAGTGCCTGCCTGGCAAGCACCAGGTTGTGAGTTTGATTCCTGGTACCAGGAAAAAAAAAAAAAAGAACATTGTTGGAGAAGTCAAGGAATTCAGTATGTAAAACCAGTGTGTGAATTAGGAAGGACCCTACACAGTGGATGATGGTGGTGATTATGATTATGGAGTGTCATTTGGGAGTAGGAGAGGGTCAGAAGGACTAGAGTGAGGGTAGATGAGCCAGGAAAGCTGGAATTGCATTAAACCTGTGTATTAGTTTGAGCAGACCTAACATCTTCACTATGTTGCTTCTTCAAATCCATGAACATGGTATAGCTATTTATTTAAATTTTCTTTGATTTCCATCACTAATTTGTGTAGTTCTCAGCACATAAACCCTGCTCATATTTTGCTAGACTTACATGTAAATGTTTCTTTTTTAGTAATCATAAATGATATATTTTAAATTTTGATGTGCATTGTTAGTACGCAGTATACAGAAATATGATTTTTTTGTGTTTGCTATAACCATGTTGAACTCACTTTTTTGTTTTTGTTTTGTGTTGTCTGAATTTACTTATTAAAGCTCTTCTCTTTTTTTTTTTTTCCTGGTACCGGGAATCGAACTTACAACCTTGCGCTTGCCAGGCAGGCACCGTGCCACTGAGCTATATCCCCAAAGCTCTGCTCTTTTTAAGTTGTGGGTGTTGAGTGTTTTGTCTCATATGCAGAAAACTGGGACCGAAGGACTGGGTCATGGCCCTGACTGTACTTGACTGTGATTTAAAAGCCTCTGAAACTGGTTTGTGGAAAGAGTTGGGAAAAGATAGCTTTGGGTTAGAGAAGCCCCAAAATGCTGTAAACAGAGTTTGATGGGTAATTTTAGTCAGAATTGAAAAGGCCAGAATATTGATAGGAATGTGGACAATACCGGCCAGGCTCACACATTTCAGCCGGAAACAAAGACTATTGGAACATGGATGCATTAGTCAGATATCCCATCGCTGAGACCCAACACCTG